TGAATCTATTCAAGAAAAACATTCTGCAAGATAACTGGCCTGTCTCCTTCCAAAAGACATGTCAAGAAAGATAGAGCAGCATTGAGAAACTACTCCAGATTTAATGGAAACTAACAAAATAGGACAAATAAGTGCAATATGTAACCCTAAGTTAGAGCCTTGAACAGAGGGGGAAAAAAATCACTGCAAAGGACATTCATGGGACAACTGACCAAATTTGACTATGGAATGTTAGCTAAGAGCTTTGTATCAAAAAACTTCCAGATTTTGATAGAAGTATGACAATTGTGTAAGACTATATTCTTGTTAGACAATATATATAGTAATTGCTTCTCAGCCTTTTAGCTAAGATCAAGTGCAATATCTGTTCTTATCAGAATACACATATAGTAAAAATGTCTCCGAATGGCTCAGAAAAAAAACAATATGCATGCATTACTTACATGCATTACACACAGAAAAAGAAAGTAATAAAGCAGATGGGGCAAAATATAAACAATTAGAGAATCTGGGTAGAGGGTATACCCAAGTTTCTGATACTGGTCTTGCAACTTTTCTATAAGTTTGAAATCATATGAAGATAAAAATAACAGAAAACAAAAAAGGAAATAACCAACTAGATTTGCCAAATTATATGCTGGTCTTCTTCCACAAAGTGGAATATCTAAAGATTATTAGAGCATTTAACAATGATACAGCAGTTCCCAAACTCTGTTCCCGAGGACACAATTACAACACGACAAATGTATCAAAATTGGTAATTTATTAAAATTAGGACAGTAGCTATTGTTATTTCTTTCTTCTGAAATTCATTTTGGAAATAATTTTATTTATCAGAAATTCACTTGAGTAGTGCCTGAGACCTGCAGGATGAGAGATGGTAAAGACGTATTTATCTGAAGAAGGACTGAAAAGGGGGGAATAAGGTTGGGGTGGGAAGAGCTGCAGCTCGAGGGAAAGACCACATGAGTGGCGATGTGATCCTTCCCTACGAACCCTCCAATTTCTCTCCCTAAAAATCATGGTGTCCATGGAGAGGCTGCCCCATGGAAACAAGACGTGCGTCTAAGTTTTGCATTCCTGTTGACTTAGGAAATAAGAGGGTTATATAAATCCTTTGACATAGGAAATCTTGGGAGGCGTAAGGCTTCCACCAGACATAGAGCCAGGGCTTTAAGGCAATCTGTGATAGTTAATTTTATGTGTCAACTTGACTAGGCTAAGGGACGCTCAAACGGCTGATAACGTGTTATTTCTAGGTGTGTCTGTGAGGATGTCTCCAGAGGAGATGAACATCTGAATCAGTGGAATGAGTAAAGAAGATCTTTATCAATGCCAGTGGGCATCATCTAATCCCTTGAGTAGGCAGAGGAAAGAAGGACAAATTTGCTGTCTGAACCAAGATATCTATATTCTCTTGCCCTTGTGCAGTCCATCAGAGCTTCTGGCTCTGAAGCTTTTGATTCAGACACAGACCAAAGTTATACCACTGGCCCCCTTGATTCTTAGGCCTGCAGACTCTGAGTTATACCATCAACTGCACCAATCCTGGTTCTCCAGCTTGTAGACGGAAGGTAGACTGTGGAACTTCTAAGCCTCCATACCCAAGTGTGCTTATTCCTACAATAAATCACTTCCTATTTATCTCTATATATCCTACTGGTTCTGTTTCTCTGAAGAACACCGAGTGATACACAATCTGATCTAAATACTGGATGATGTCTTGTTTTCAAGTATTAGGAAAATTCCAACACATTTATATAAGTTGTTCTGATTATTGGGTCAATATCTTATTATTAATAAATGCTGTGCCACATTCAAGAAAGTTGCATGAAAGATGGCCTGATAGAGGAGATGATGTGTTAATTGAACATCACTGACATTTGTGCTATAACTGAAACTCACTGGTCTAAGCTGTGGATCATGTCATGTTTTAAATATGTGAATGTATTAACTCCCAACTGCATACCATTCTGTTACAAAGTTTTAAAACGGGAATCAAATGTTGACCATTTCTTAAAACTAGTTTATCTAAGAGACTTTTTAATTCTTAGCTTCAATCTGAACACTGTTTTATTTCATGGCCACTGCTTGGTTTTCTACTGCTACACTACCACTTCTAAGTGTTCTGTGGTCATGTAAGCTGAAGAAATACTGCTATACAGTGTCATTTTTACAGATTACATATCTAAGGAATGTGTAGGACTAAGAAAACACAGAACACGCTTTCACATTTTGACTATTTCCACAGAAGGCTAAGAGACACTATTCTGACCACTACTAATTATGAGCGGGCTGAGTAAGGAACCGTGGGTGTGCTCAGGTGCGCCAACTCTCCGCGACCCCATGGACTAGGCCATCCGGCTCCTCTGTCCATGGACTCTCCCAGGCAAGAATACTGGAGTGCGTTGCCATACCCTTCTCAGGGACCTACCTGACCCAGGGATTGAACCCACGTCTCCTGCATTGGTAGGCAGGTTCTTTGCCACTGAGCCACCAGGGAAGCCAAGTATTGAATTATCCACTAGCCAACTGATTTTCACTGTTAAGACCAACATAAATTACATCATAATCAATCCCACAACTTCTAATGAAATTCTGTGTCAGAAAGAACTTCTGCAAGGCCACCATAAATGCAGATCGAGGGTGTCAAGGGTGGAGCAGAAACACGAGAAATCCACCAGGCTAAGAGGCTTCACCCTGCGGGCCTATTTTAGACAGGAATTAAACCACTGCTCACTGCAAAACAAAAATTACACCATATTATTGGGTTGGTCAAAAAGTTCTTTCAGACTTTTTGTAACATCTTATGAAAAACTCAAACAAACTTCTGGGTAACCCAAAAACTCTAAAGATGGTAAAGAAAATAAATAAAACTGATATAGGTGAAGAAATCCTCAGTGCTGGTGAAGTTTAGGACAATGCAGACAAATGAAGGCTTTCTCAGCAAAACTGAAGCATATTTATGGTCCTAATCTACCAGTGTCACCTAAGATGGGAAGGGGATTCCACAAATTTGGCAGCAATCCTGCCACTGTGCCCTTAATACCCCTCTTGGAGTCTGCTACGGTGTGACGTTATTTATAGAGCTCAAGAGGTCATGGAGACGGCTCCGTGAAGAACCAAAATTGAAAACACAGCTGGTATAGAGTGGACTCCGAGAGCTATCTCAGGATTTAACGTACGTGAACTATCACTTATCGCCCCAGACCCCGACCCTCAGAATTCCTCACCAGTCACCACTATTTACTGACCCAGCTTCAGAACCTGAGGCATCTCCAACGTCTCTTCTCACTTCCATCTCCTGCGAGCTTCCAAGTCTGGCAGATTCAACTGCTTCTGCAATCCATTTCCTCCTTTTGATCTTGAAGGCCAGTGCCCTGGTTTAGGTCCTTACTTCCTCAGCCTATTAAAATAGCCTCTCCTACCAGTTTCCAGTATTTTTCCATCTAATTTACTTTAGGACCACCATAATATTCATCCTTCTAAAGCACAGTCTGAATCACACCAGTCCCCCTTTCAAACCATCTTCAATTATTCCTCATGGCTCTGAATCAAATACATACTCCTCAGCTGGGCATTCAAGACCTCGGTGATCTCCAGTAGCTCCTCAAAATCTACACTATTCCCCACATATATCCACATAAGCAACACATGGTCCAACTTCCCATTTCTTCTTCAAACTTCTCTTTGCATCTGGCTCTCACCACGCACACAACTCAATCTACTCAAATCTTACCCATCCTCCAGGGTCTGTATCAATCATTGCTTCCTCAGAGAAACCTCTCTCCATCTCCCCAGTTACATGTGACCTTCTACTTCCCTGAACCTAACACATTTTTCCTGGCTCTATTATGACCTGTTTTCTACTGTATTTATTTATCTCCCCTACCACAATCTTCTCTTAATCAATACTTATTAGGACTTATCTCTGTGCCAGGCACTGTACTAGGCATCAGGAGTACAGGGCTGAGCAAAACATCTATGAGCCCTCAAATTGCACAGAGGAACCTCACCTTCTCTGTGTTACTATGGAACCTACACAGTGTATCACCTGATAAGCAGCAAGAACAACTGTTCTATCAAGGTGCTAGAATATGATTCATAAACATACTGCCACTCAAGTAAGACACTTTGTTTAAAATCTCTATTAATAAAAGAATCATTTTCATAGGAAATTTGAAGAAACATATATTGTAATCTTTAAGTCTATAATAAAGACTTGTTCACTACTGAAACAAAAATGGAAGAAATATCAAATCCTTCCATCAAAATATTGTAGAGCAAAAATTTCTATTTTTTGAAGATACAGATACATTTATCTAGTAAAACAACTGAAAGAGTGGAAAGAAAGATAATCAGACTTTGGTATCAGTGAGATGTCAAATGAATGAGTATGACTAAGTGAATGAATGAATTTAAAAAGACTATTGGTTTGGTTTTCAGACAGTTTTTGGACCCATTATTTTAGAATCTCAGTAAAATCCTCAGAAGTTCACGTGATGATAATGTGGAGAGGGATATGTATAGTAATCAGGAAAAAATGAGAGAACACAACTGTGAGATGAGCTATGTCAAATTATCACTTAGGAGAGTAACAAGACAAGATTTTCCTAAGGCCCCTGGGTTGGACTCAACCACCAGTGAAGAAACTGACTTTCAAATGATGGGGAGGTTCTTAACCATACGTTCCCACTTTAAATAAGTTTGTAAAGGATAAAATCTCAGTTTCTGACATTGCTGTGAAGAAACTGACTTTCAAATGATGGGAAGGTTCTTAACCATACGTTCCCACTTTAAATAAGTTTGTAAAGGATAAAATCTCAGTTTCTGACATTGCTATGATTCCCAGCGGCTGCCCAATGCCCCATCCACACTCTGTGCCCCACGCTGCCTCTGTTCCACGAGCTTACTTACCTCATAGGCATCCTTGATGTTCAAGGGCTCGCCAAGAGCGGCCACGTGTCCCCACCCTGCCTCTGATCCATGAGCTTACTTACCTCATAGGCGTCCTTGATGTTCAAGGGCTCGCCAAGAGCAGCCACGTGTCCCACGATGCCTTTGTTCCACTCTAAGCGGATACAGTTATTCGAAGCTTCTTCCAGTGTTGAACCTTCTGCAACATCAAAGAGGCGGCTGATAAGAAACTTGTCGTTGGAGCTGTCCTCACAGACGAGGAATAAGGAGTAGCGGTCGGCGGAGATGAGTCCATGGATATGCAAGAAAATTTTGTGACATAAGGCTGTGACATCCAAGTGACTAGAAATATCTTTCACTAATTCCAAGAGTCTCGAGCACTGGTCCCCTTCATCATTATCAAACCGTGGGGAGGTTAGAGGCATCTGTTCCTTCTTGTCTGAGTCAGAGAGGAAGCTCACAGTCCCCTCAGAATCCTTGATAACAATGGGTCTAAGCGGCCGATCAAATTCGGAGGCAGAGATCTTCCTGGTTGGTGTTCCAGGGACACTGCTCTCTGCACGGGTACTTGGCTGCAAGGGGCAAGAGCAGGATTCCGTGTGGCTTTTGATTCCTTCCTTGCACACAGGGATGGTGTGAACTCTCTCAGCAAACCATGCATTGACCATTTCTCTGTAGAAAAGAACATGTAGGCATATTAAATATTTGAGGAAGACGGGAGTGGATAAATAAGGTGTGGTGCATATGTACAATGGAATACTACTCAGTCATAAAAAAGGACTGGTGCACAGTAACTTGCAGAGACGTGGATGGACTTACTGTCTGTCATACATAATGAAGTAAGTCAGAAAGAGACAAACAGATACCCTATATTAACACATATATACGGAATCAAGAGAAATGGTACTGATGAGCCTATCTGCAGGGTAGGAACAGAGATGCAGATGTAGAAAGTGGACGGCGGTCATGCAGAGGGGTGAACAGGGAGACTGGGATGACAGTATGTGCACTGCCAAGTGTAGGACAGACAGCGGTGGGAACTTACTGTGGCGCACGGGCGATTCAGCTCAGGGCTCTGGGGTGACCTAGATGGGGGGGCGGGGTGGGATGGGGATGGGGATAAGGGAGGGAGGTCCGAGAGAGAGGGGACATGTGTATACACACAGCTGACTCTCTTCACCATTGAGCAGAAGTTAACACGACAGTATAAAGCTACTACAACTCAATAAAAACAAAACACTGTGGGGCGGGGAGGGTAGGGGTGGGGGGGGTGCGGCGAGCGTGCTCCGTCACGGCTGACTCTTGGCTATCCCAGGGACCGAAGCCTGCCAGGCTCCTCTGTCCATGGACCTTTCCAGGCAAAGGAGAGGTTGCCATTTTCTACTCCAGAGGATCTTGCCAACCCAGGGATGGAACCAACCTCTCTCTCGTCTCCTGCATTGGCAGGCAGGTTCTCTACCACTGTGCCACCTGGGAAGCCTCCCTCCTTAAACACTGCTACCCCTGAAAACTTCTAAAATCCTCTCATGGGTAACTGATGCGGTAACCATTTGTCATAGAAAATGAAAACATAATGGTCTATTTAGACAGTTTATTTTGAAAAACGGTAGAGGACAATTGTTTCAGTGAACATTTTAATAAAAGATTGACTCCTGTATACATATATTTTCAGATATCTGATTTATAATGCATCAAGTGTCAAGTCAGTTCCTCTCAAAATCAGTTTGAATTAAAGTAAAAGCCACTAAATTTGACAATAGTCTAAGGAAAACACAGGCATGGAAATCTGCTGTTTAAAACACACAACTTATTCTGAAGTTAAATATTTAAAATTTTTTTAAAAAATTATCTGAATTTGGCTAGGTAACATGCTTAATTTTAGACAGTTTTTATCTATATCACTATATATAGATTAGATTTAGGAAAGGAAATAGAAAACAGAAACAATTTGATCTAGTATGTAGAAGAAAGATCACAGACTTCCATTAATAACATCCTAATAATGCATGTCCAATAATCTAGAATAATCTTCTTCTATTTACTCCTTGTACAAAGGAGCAAAACAAATAAACAAGGCAGTAACTAGTATAAAAAATTTAATCCAAGAAAATTTAAATTATTTATGTTGTTCATGTGCCACTCCATGAAGAAACTTATCTGAGCTAAAGGTTTCATAGTCAGTATTAAAAAATATATATATATATATAAATATACCAGATCATACACATCCAAAAGACTGTTGTTCAGTTCAAGCTTCTTGGGAAGCTGTAATCTGATGCCAACTGATGCCCCCATTACTTTAAACATTCTGGGAACTTTTGAAACTAACTTCTAAAAAAATTCAAAGTCATATAAGAATATGAGTTTACCTAAAAGCTAGATCTTGTTTTTCACTGAGCCTTGCTCTCAAAATAAGCAAAGAAAACCACAAAAAACCTAGAGTAACGGCTAACAATACATACTGTATGCAGACCTGATTTTTCCCCCAAATACAGACCTGATTTTTCTCCAAACTCAAAAATTTATTTTCAAAAGACAGTAACTTGCTAGCACCGAGGATATTTAAAAGAACTGGCCTATAAGAGCAATGCAATCTCCATTAGGCAACGGTTTACTGGTTATTTTCATGAAACAGCCAGGATGCAGACACTCTCCAATCCTTCTGGCTGCAGCAGGAGAGAAAAGCTAATCATTTTCCTGAGTCTCCACTAAGTCTTTCACTTATAGAGTGTTACATGAATTATTTTATTTTGAACAATAATCTATTGTTTGGTAAATATATATTACCCTGAATTGACACCAATCTAGAATGCAATGGGTAAAAAAAAAATATGACATAGATATTATCAGGATTATCTCATAATTCCAAGTGTCAGATACATTTTAAAGCTCTCTTTAAAAAGTACTTACTATATTACTCCAGTATATACGTAGCACAGAGGTTTTTTTTTTTTTTAATGTAATTGCCTAATATTTTATAAATGCATGCCATGGCTTGGCACAAAATTTCTAGTGATAAGAATATACTCTGGTAACAGTGTATCTCAAAAACTTCTATAGAAATGAGGGGGACATACTTTGGGAAATGTTTATGAAATGTCCTAAATCACAAAGAAAGATTGTGCCAAAGACATTGATGTCAGATATGCATGTGAGAAATGAACAGGAAGCATTTGAATGAAATGTTTTGTAAGACATGAAACAGGAACCCAGCAATATGTTTAAGTTAATCTAGTTTATGTGATTAAAACATATGTACATGTAACTTAAAAACTTCTCAAATCAACATAAAAACAGGAATTTTAACTATGTCAGCTACAAACCTGAAACACAGCCTCAGCCTATTTATCTTCTCACTGAAAAATGGTGATGAACATTTCAATTTTTAAGCAAACCACCTCCCTGACAACATCTACACAGACACCTTAAAGCGGTGAAATCACAATTCCTAACACCCCGCCCTCCTTCTTGCTCAAATCTCACTCCCTGTCCACTTTCTTCATATCACTTACTCAACTGCACATCTAGGAATTACTCTGAATGTTTCCTTCAACTCTCAGATCCAATCTAGCAACCAAGTCCTGTCCAGTTGACTTCCAAAACCCTATACTCCAATCGGCTCTTTTCTATGTCCTATACTACTGCCCTGGCGCAAGCTGCATCGTCTCTCATCTTGGACTATGGCCACAGCCCCTTAATTGGATTCTCTGAGATTATACTAGCCTCCTTCAACCCATTCTCCCTATGGCAGCTAGAGCAACCTTTGAAAAAGTAGGCCTTAACATCTTAACCATCTTACTGGGCTTCTCACTGAATTGAGAGTAAAACCTAAACTCTTCTGACCCCCAACCACAGTCCCTCCTGCCCACACAGGCCTCCCTGACCTCCTCAAGCCCATCAAGCTTTGACTGCCCCCAGGCTGGAACACTTCTCCTCACCTGCATCTGGCAGGTCACGGCTCCCTCCTCACCTGCACAGACAGGTCTTCCCTGCTCACTCCACCTCTCAAGGGGCCCCAACACATTATGTTCCCCCCGACACGATCTGAATTCTTGTTGTCGCTCTTCAGTCACCCAGTCCTGTCCAACTCTTTGCAACCTGACAGACTGCAGCACGCCAGGCCTCCCTGTCCCCCACCATCTCCCAGAGCTTGCCCAAGTTCATGTCCATTGCATCCGTGATGCCGTCCAGCCATCTCATCCTCTGATGCCCTTGTCTCCTTCTGCCATCGATCTTTCCCAGCATCAGGAACTTTTCCAATGAGTCGTCTGTTCACATCAGGTAGCCAAAATATTGGTAGCTTCAGCCTCAGCATCAGTCCTTCCAATGAATACTCAAGGCTGATCTCCCTTAAGACTGACTGGTTTGATCTCCTTGCAGTCCAAGAGACTTACAGGAGTCTTCTCCATCACCACAGTTCGAAGGCATCAATTCTTTGGCATCCTGCCTTTTTTACAGTCCAGCTCTCACAACTGTACACGACCAATGGTGAAGACCATAGCCTTGACTATACAGACCTTTGTTGGCAGGGTGATGTCTCTGCTTTTCAACACATTGTCTAGGTCTGTCATCGCTTTCCTGACAAGAAGCCACTGTCTTCTGATTTCACGGCTGCTGTCACCATCCACGGTGATGCTGGAGCCCACGAAGAGGAAATCTGTCACTACTTCCAACTTTCCCCCTTCTATTTGCCATAAAGTAACGGGACCAGGTGCCACGATCTTAGTGTTGTTTTTTTTTTTAAATATTTAGTCTTAAACCTGCTCTTTCACTCTCCTCCTTCACCCTCATCAAGAGGCTCTTTAGTTCCTCTTCGTTTTCTGCCATTAGAGTGGTAATGAATTCTTACTACCATCTATTTTTCTTGCTTATTAACCTGTTGGTTTACTGTCTCTTTCCTCCAAGGAGATGTAATTTCATACTCATCTGTCTTGTTAACAACTGCATTCCTGTACTTAGAAAATGTCTGTTACATATTAATACTATGTCCTTGATAAATATCTGAGTGAAGTGAATGAATAAATAAATGAAGCCTCCTAAACTAACTGCATTAAAAAGGACAACAGTCTTTTGAAAATTTGAATGCTTAGAAAATCAACATTATGTTTTAGCTGCTAATGGCCACCACCCCTTGGATGTAAGCCTCATAACTGACCAGGGCCACTCTCCCCTCATTTATCCTGTAGGACCTGTTATATACACATCTTAAACAGAGCCAGTGCCCCCCCATGTGTTTGATTTGTCTCACAGGTGTTGTATTTCTAGATACTTTCTTCGAGAAATGAACTCAGTATTAAGTGACACAGGAAAAGTAGATCTGGTATCTTCAGTCATTCAATCAACAATTTTTATTAACCACCAGTCATGGGGGGAAAGGTTTTATCAAGACCACATTATTGATTATCTGAGTCCCTGTAGATATATATGCCTGTGGAGGAAAACAAAAGTTATCATAACATCAAAACAATTACTTATAAACCAGCCATAAATAATATTAAATCATCTCTTACACCTCTCTCCTTTCAGGCATCCCTTGATGTTTTGCAGTGCATGACCTATGTGGCTATGTGAAGTGAGCCTTCTTTCCTAAGACTAGTATTGATCATCTCCTGTTCTTTAATACTTTACTCTCTGCAAATACAAATCACTTGCAGACTGAAATGTAAACTTGT